ACGCGGGCGGAGCTGCGGGCAATGCTAGTAAAAGAATAAACACACTAATCTTAACAAATACTAATTTGGCAGTAAAAAATATTTAACCTAAGCGGGGAAACGAACCTACGATTTTTAACAAAGAGACTTACATACACTCCATCTCCCACGATAAGCAGTCGGCAAATGCGAATAATATTAAAATTTTAATCATATACATGTTTCAAAAGCGTTAAAATTAATAATTCAAAAGAAACTTACAAATTACAAAATATGTCGATTTGCAATGTATAATTGGTTGAAAACGATGAAATAGTGAAATAAATTATGAACGAGTTTGTTAGAATTGAAATTACCTATATCGTAACATTAGTTTATAATTTATGTTGTATCTAGTTTATGTACTTAATACTTTTAGTACAAACTCTGACTAAAAGGTTATAAAGATGGAGTCCGCCCAAAATAAATGTCATAGTCAAAAATAGTAGCGTGATTTGCTGTTTATGCTACTTTTCTAGTCTTGCCATAGGTCCGTTTACTTTCTTTAAAGAATAATAGAAATTTTATATATGAATTATATAAATTAATTAACAATATTTCAGAATAAGATATGAATAATACAATTATTAATACTATATCCTTTTGTATTTTTAACCATTAGTGCTCTTTCCCTCGAAAGAGAGATAGCATAATATTTGTTTATTTATTTATTTTTTCTTTATTATTATAAATCCTGTTACCTCTTTCTATTTTCTCTTCGGATTCTTTCGCGGATTTATTTTGATTTTTGGTTTCCTACGCTTCGAATGCTTTATAGAAATCATAGCCACGGGTGAGACTAAGGTTTTAGAATTTCATATATTCGCGTAAATCTAAGAAAAAAATACTATTTTTAATTATTACCATTTATTTACTTGTCACTCAGTATATAAATTTTCATTTGTACACTATTTTAAAACATTATATATTATTTTTAAAACATGCATGTTTAATTTCATATTTAGTTCTATTAGACTCTATCTATATTACTCCATAGACTGAGAATACAAATTAGAAAATGATCCTTCTTCTACACAGCAACAGAACAATCGATCGACATAATTTGCATAGAGATAGTTTATGGAGAGTGACAGGATGTTTTTATTCCTGTAAAATAAATCCCGTGGGATTTCAACCTCTTACAAAAAGTTACCAAGAGGTAGTTGTCTAATATTATAAGTATGTACGTAACTATGTGTGTAATATGTTTTATTTTATACCATATTTTTTTGCTTTCTGTACAAATCAATGCAATTAATGGCATAGAAAACTTTGTCTGCATTATAATTTTTACGCATTTTCTTAAGTTATACTTATTATACATATAGTTATCTATAATACTATTTTCTTAATCGTTTTTTGCTATCTATAATAGATAAACGTAGAAGATGACTTATATATTTCTGTAACATATAAAAGATATTAATTTATGTTAAGGATAGATTTTGTAAGGATTTGTGTGAAAAAATAAAATGAGCTCCAACGTGTGTCCGCAACATGCATTCCCAATTAAAACGTAATCTAAGTACTATCGGCATACTGGGATTTTCATTTTAATTAACAATTTATCAGGTTCTATAGAGACAATATGCTGTTATATTTTTTTCCAAATAACAATATTTTAACATACCATATATATATATATAATAGTAGATGGACTAGATAGTCGAGATATGATCGAATATCATAAATATTTCCCGCTTTAATTGCTTTTTCAATTAACGCTTCGACGATCTTCAGTTGAGATCCGCGTAATGGACTCTACATAGATTATATAAAAATTTAGAATGTTTTCGTCGAACATCCATTTTGTTTTATTGTGGTGATGTTATTAAGTAAATAAGTGTAAAGCTTTATAAAAGAAAATATTCTTTATTAATGTCATTTTAAGTAAACCGCTAGACAGATTTTGATGAAATTTGCTATGATGACAGCTGGTTATCCGGGTCAAAATACTTTTTGCTGCGGGAAAATATCTCATCTCTGAGAAATCTATACTTACTGTTAAAACGTATCTAGGGACGAAGCTGAGCGGAGTGAGGGTGAGTAGCTTGTCTATATATTAACATTACTTACACAGATAACTAATACATAACAGATGTGGGGTTTAACAAGAGCCCTGTCTATGTATGACAGCCACTTAGCTCGATCATTTGCTCGTTTTGCCTTTATTCTAAAAAAAATTGAATTTGTAACATTTCTATATTCTTTTTAGTCTTTGCACCGGCGCCAACGTTCAGACGCCTATAATTCCATTTGGCAGCGAGACGGTAAGTATATACACCTGATACGCTTTCATTCTGTGGGATGGCAGATTTATTTTTACTTATTTGCTAATTGAACATAATTATGATACGAATATATTTAATTTTTGATAACTATATGTTAGTCCTTTTTTTTATTGTTGGGAAATGCATTTACGCATACCACCTGATCCCCCAGGTGGTGATGTGAGGCTCACCGGCTAGAAGAGCCGGTACTACCCACTAAAACCCGACACCCCTTCCCCGCCTTAGTGGGACGCCGCAGGATCGCTTGCGCATAACTACTACGTCGCCCCGGCGGCTGGTCTGCCTAAACGCTAGGCAGACCACCAAACCAATGGGGCTACTCCACAGTCAACTCTGCTACGCCAGAGAGGTACCCGGAGCAGCCCCATTAAACCAAACACCGCTCACCGAGTGGGCCACCTCCAATCGACTGCAGAGGTCAGGGAGAGCGGTAACGAAACACCGACACTCCTCTTCCCCTGCAGCCTCACCGCGTCCGCCATCAAACGGTGGCGGCCCCGTCTAGGCCGCGGTAGGTAGGGAGAACGGAGCATTGAAATACCGGCACTCCTCTCCCGCCGCGGCCTACCCCTCCGCCGGATGCGGGCCTGCGACCACAGTCCCGCAACCGGCACCCATCATCCGGTTGTGGGACCAAGCGGTCCCAGCACCGGTGGCCGCAACGCCTTCGGCTTGAGGCCTAGACGAGCGGCCCCACCCAAGTCATTTGGTTCGCGCCGGATTTCTCCGGTACCACCCGCCGCCCTAAGCACCCGCTTAATCCCCTATCCGCCACCTGGGGACGCGCCCGGTAGGAGTTGGCTTCTCCCCCGGGAACTATATGTTTGTCCTGATCTATTGCGCGGCGACTCAAAAAAGTATTTGGGAGGTTTTCTTGTATTCAGAAGTAACTCCAAGTCTATATTTATGGTATTTAAAGCTATAGATTCACTTACCGTCTAAGGCAATAGATTTCCAAAAATATAATGACATGATGACAGCTAAATGAAAATTGTATACAGCCATTTTTTTCACGTCCAACTGCCAAGCACGAGCCTCCCTTCAATACGAGGGGGATCGAACCATAGTCCACCACGCTGGCTAAGCGCAGGTTGGCGGACTTCACATATCTTTCAAAAACTTGTTAGGTTCTCTCAGACATACAGTTTTCCTCACGATGTTTTCTTTCACCACAAGACAAGTTGTTATCATGTTGAAAATGATTCACACATGAAAATATCAGAGGTGCAACACCCGGGATTTGAACCCGCTTCACTCGGTTTTCCAAGCGAATGCGTTACCACTACCACTGCCTAAAAATTGCCTAAATCCAAAATAACATTTTTGCTATTTTCTATTGTTACGAATCCCCAGACTATATATATGTACTTGAGACCTTCACCTGCATAAGTTTGGATTATCATAAGGGGCCCATAAACCTTATATTTTCAATATAAATGGCATATTAACTTTAAATTTATGCGAGTTTGTTCAAACTATGTAGTTAAACAGAAATTTAGTTAAAATGTGTAAGCGGAACGTTAACTGCCAAAGTTGTGCTTGTAATTTAACTGCGAACTAAGAGACTAAATCGAAACAATGTACACACAGTTGATTTGACCCTTCTGTATACTTTTCTATCTATATTATTGTATATAAATAGGCAAAGATAAAACGGTTTCGAACCTTTTTCTCCTCTGTTTATCGGTCGATTTTCTTTGATTGCTATTGAAAAGCTTTTATTTTAATAAAAACTAGTAGGTTTAACGGTTACTATGTTACTAAATCTTTGAATTTCTCGGTTAAAAGTAGTCATGTCATCATGTCACTCTTCCAGCCCTCCATCTATCTCCACACAAAAAAAAAGAATCCGCCACTCTGTTTCGACGTCAAGTAAGGACAAATAAACAAACAATCAAACACACTTTCACATTTATAATATTCGTATTAGTATGGATTTCTTAATAATAATTAATTAATTAAAATTTGAAGAGTGGTACATGTTACTCTAGCTACAGTACCAGAGATTTCAGATTAAACCCCTCCATTGTAAATGTCTCTACTGACCTGATATACTTAGCAATATTAAGGTATTTAAATGGTGCTTTTGCAATAACTTGAATAAATTATTGTACTTCTGACGATTTTTATTATTTATGTTCAACATGTTGCCTTCGGAATCTTTTACGTGACTGGTAACGAAATGGCGAATATTCGTAACTAACAAACATAACTCACAGCTTTGCTCCATTTTTTTTAACTGGCAATTTTTCACGCGTATGTGTAGGGGTCTTTTAGGAGCCAAAATTGTTTTTTTTTCAATATATAAATAGTTCATCCTGATAAGAAGATGCTTCAGCTTTCAGATGAACTCACAGACTTTGAACGGGGTTGGTTATTTTTTTTTAAATGTGTTATAAAATAATAAAAGAGACGTAATGCTGCAGTTCATGTGTATTATTATCATTGTCTGCGATGACAAAGTTCTTGGCTTCGATTCTTATTCAAGTTAAATATTCACATAACATATGTTCTAGTCTCTCTAATACATATAATATATATATTTTTTAAATTAAACATACTTTAAACATAATAAATTTATTACTTAAAATCTTCAATTTAAAATCAACAAAGTTTTCAATGCTTTATTAAGTGCTTTAGCCAATTAAAAAGTTACAAGAAAATATTTCCTTCCATTTGTAGTCGAATTTAATACTTTCCCCATCCATATCCAAGTCCGTAATCCAGACCTTTGCTGAGACCTAGACCGAGGTTTAGGTTATAGTCCAGACCTTTTCCGATGCCCAGACCTAGACCGTAGTTGGCTACCGGCACTTTAATAATCGGAGTTGATATGACAGGTGTCACTACTTGCCTCACGATGGGTATAGGAGCGGCTTTGTATAAGTTAGCTGTAGAGACTGCAGGTGCTAAGATAGGAGCACTGATTATAGGTGCACTATAAATAGGGGCAACTGAGATTGGCGCTGACAAACCTAAAAATATAATATTAATATTAAATCTCCAATTGGGCACAATTATATCTGTACAGGAAACGAACTGCTACGATTTATTTTTTTAATATATATAATTAACAATTAAAGATTTATGTACATTTACTAATATATTATGTTTTAGTAATAGATTTAAAAAAGTTTAGTACATAATCTCTTTTTTTTTAATAAAATTATTTCAAACGAAATTATTAAACCAATTAATGTATACATTAGATTTTATTTATACGAACCATATCCGCCGTAGCCTAGACCGATGCCAGACCCGTGCACATTCACGGCTACAGCCAACAGGCAAGCGAACTAGAAATATATATATATACAATCGATTATTATTATATATTAACGACTTACCCTGGATTCATGTACATGTCCCTAGATGGTGTTAACAGTCGCTTATATGTTACTCTAAGTAATCATAGACTTATATATATAGATATACTTGATTGATATCATCAAAATCAGACCAGCCGTTTCAAGATACATAAACACATAAACATACAAACTTTCACATAGTATTCTGATTAATCGAGAACTTTAACCACAATTTTTGAGAGCAATTATGAATTATTATCATTTTACAGAAGTCTGTATCTAATATAAGGGCTATGTTGTAATCACCACTCATTAACCCTCTTCTTTCAAGAAAATCTTACTTATTGCTTGAAAAACTTATGCATATTTACTTATTAGAATTTAGATATTAACAGAAATAGTAACAAATTTATCTGTTAATATTTTTTTTAAAATTTTACTTAGATTGCGCAGACAAACATCAAAATAAAAGTATCGTAATCGCAAAAAAATCATGGCTATTTTACCTCAAACGAAAACCGAACCGCGATTTACAATTAAGTAAACCACTATAATAATAAAATAATAATTTAAAATACTTACAGTAATAAAAGTGTTCATATTGGTTGAATGTTACATATGAAATGTGTCTATCGATCCATATTATTGCGTTTTTATACTTGACCGTTTCCTTTGAATTTCAGTGACTTAAATCGCATGCACTTTTTTACTGAATGTATTGCATACAACGCACTCGTATGTTAATTTGTAGACCTTTTATAACGATTAATCTAAGAACAAAGAGACACTTTTTTAGAATATTAAGGCCATCATGGTGTATCTAAGTTATTTTCAATACTGCCCATTCATTCTGCCCTTTAAAATCGTGTGTTGGGGCTTAACCAACCAGACTTAGGTTTCACGGACTCATTAAGTACATAAAATAATTTGTTTTTTTTGGCCATTAAACTATTGTAATATATATATCTTTATATATATAATTCTTCTGTGAGTGTGTATGTCACTGAACTTCTCTCAAACGACTGGACCGATTTTGATGAAATTTTTTGTGTGTGTTCAAGGGGATCTGGGAATGGTTTAGATTCACAATTTGAATAATAATTTTCATAAAAAAAATTATTAAAAAAAGTTTGAAATTTTCAAATTAAAGACGTGTAGACAGGACAACGTCTGTCGGGTCCGCTAGTATATATATATATATATATATATATATATATATATATATATATATATATATATATATATATATATATATATATATAGCACGTAATCGTAATATATATATATATTACAATGATCGTATATATTACGTGTAGATCACAATTTTAATAGATATTAGAATGGACTGCTATATGTACATACGAACCATACTATACATATGTACGTGATAAATAGCTCGGTTAGTTTAGGCGTTAAAGTGCTAGAAAGTAAAAGGAAAACATCACATCTTTGACTTCATAAAAAAAATCTTTCAAAAAGGACTCTCAGATTTTCCAAATTTCCAAATTTTCCGGAATACTATTCCAATTTCATTCCCTATTAACCTTACGAATCATATATTATTTTAATAGCCGAAATTGTTTTTAATAATAGTATATTAAATAATATAATATATTAAAATAATAATAGATTTGCCTGTTATTAAATAGCCATCTATCCAGCCGTTCTCAAGTGATGCATTTACCAACTAACAGCATTTCATTTTCATTTATATAGACTAAAATATTATAAATATCCTTAAATTAAGTTAGTACAGTTAGTTAGGAAATATACGCTGTTTGTTCAATATAATTAATGCTTTTGTTAAAATTAACTTGGAGTTTTTGGGGAATATTCGCGATATTTTTTGTTCTCAATCTTAAATATATTTTTCTTACAAAGATGTACTATTTTCTTCGTATTCCTTTAGTTAACGCGCTTCAAATACATTTTACAAGAATGTTTAAGGATTTTGTGATATGCAAGAATGGTTTGCTAGTAGAAAAAATAATAATAATAAATATAAATAAAATAAATAAATTGACAGTACTCTAATTATTATCGTTTAACTCATTTATTGTATTTCTTAATTTAATATATTATTATATATGTAATATGCTGTATGTAACTTCATTTTCTATGTCTTTAAGTACCAATTTGAAAGAAGAACCAACAAACATATTTTTAAAAGTTACAATAGAGTTTGAGAGGAGTATTAAATCAAAAATCACATATTTAGCTGTTGATGCTTTATTAAGTACATTGACCAATCAAGATGTTACATAGCGTTTACTTCGTCTGAAGACACCTCTTGTCTCAGGGCTAATAGTCTAGCCAAGTTTTCCATATCCGTAGCCAAGTTTGCCAAGTCCAAGCCCATACCCGCCAAGGCCGTAGCCAAGACTGCCAACTCCTAGTCCATAGCCGCCAAGACCAAGACCTGATCCTACGGCTACGCTGTAGCTGGATACTGGTACGGTTTGGAGGATAGGTCTGCGAATGATTGGAGCTACGGCAACTGTATTAATAATTGGTGCGGCTTTGATAACTGGCGCTGTGATGACAGGGGCGGAGACGATCGGAGATAATCCTGTAAAATAATTTTAGATGTCAAAATTCTAAAAAGAAAATTCATCAAAAGCGATACTTTGATGAACTACGATGGTAATGACGAGTTTAGAGAACCTAATTACTGATGGAACTATCGAAATAAAAGCAGCAAAGCTATGGATTTTGTTAATTTTTATTGCTAAGCATATTCTCTATATTTTTGTATTGAATGTTTTATATTAATTTATGTATTTAAAGCATTAAATAACTCAAATCTATCTAGTATTTAGTTTTGCATTGACCGAATGAAGTATACCTCTAAAGCGTAAAGTAAAGCTAAATAGGAGTCAAAGGATAGCCGTCGACACCAATATTGACCGAGTGTTTCAGCGGCATTATTTATTTAAGCGTTCTGTATCATTTATTCTATAGGGTAGGACAATGTACATGTACATTAAGCACATTATATAGATGCTGTTTGTTATCTAGAAACTTTTTCGTGATTATCCTGCTAGAGAGATTTATTTAGTTAACGTTTTTATTAAAAACAAAAACAAACCTATCCCACGGGAACCGTAAATTTTTCCGGGATAAAAAGCCGTTCTGGCGTGATTGAGTAACAAACATTTTTAATATAAGTAAGATTTCATTATTAAATAAATTTATATAAAAAATAATAATCTATATCGGGTCCAGTATTATTTTTTACAAACGGCTATTATTTCTTTAGCATCACTTGAATTTAAAGCAAAACGTTATATTTTGAGTATTCCAGGATAGCTTTTAAAAGGGATGTCTAAAAGTCAACTCCAAAGGGTGAAAGGGATACGGATTAAGAACTCCATAAACGTTGAAGCATGGGAAAATAACTGAAAAAAGCAATTGAATGGTTTACCATAACCGAGACCGCCAAGACCGCCGAGGCCGCCGTACCCCAGGCCGATGGCCGACCCGTGCGCGACTGCGGCCACAGCTACCAAGCAAGCCAACTAGAAATAAACATTTCGTTAATTTCGGGTCGACTTTTCCATCATCACATAAAAAAAATTGCAACGTAACTAAATATATTAGTGACTTATAACAAAACATACACACATATTATGTACATATATACAAATTTTCATATTTATAATTTGTAATAGTCCGATATAGCTTTCATGCTTAATCTGTGAATTGATGAAAATAAAATTTATTTATTATTTATAGATGATATCAAATATGAAATCAGTCCACAATTTAATATTTCAGATTCATAAATATTTACATTACGTAATATTATTTCATTTTAATTATAGCAAATAAATTAACAGTTAATTTTGTCGGTTAAAAATGATTAAATATTCAAATAATTATGCAGCCAATAAGGATGCAAAAATAGAATTAAGAAATAATTTATAAGGAAAAAATATGAACAGTGTCATATTTACACAATAAAATCTATACATATAATAAAATTGTAACTAAACCGAATCTGTATATTAAATATTTTTTATAAAATATTATTGAAATACGCATTATTATCGATACAGAGGCCGAATTTATAGTTTTTAGAATTTTTGTCTATCTGTGATAGCTGGTTATCCGGGTCAACATATAGGATACTTTTTACCGCGGGAAAATGTCTCATTTCTGAGAAAAAACACAAAAATTGCAGTTTAAGAGTATGCTAATATGTAAAACCTAAGAATTTGGTATTTGGTCATCTGCACGCGGGCGGAGCCCCGGGCAATACTAATATATTATTACTTCAACACGTATTAAGATAACATGAATTTAATATAAACATAATAATCCCTTTTATAATAATTAATACATACAAATAAAACTTGCTACAAATTTGAAAATGACTTGTAATATAAAAGTATAAAAAAAATACATAGTTACTGATAATGTATTACATTGTTATTATATTGGCGTCATTCCCCAAAAATAGGAAAAAAGGTGAGCTCTAAACAAACTTAACAAACAAATTCTATTTTATACTCACTGTGATGAAGGTGTTCATATTGGTTGATTTCTTCAGACGAAGTGTATGGATCTTAGAAAATTCATGATTATTTATACGTGTTGGTTTCCTTCAGTTTTCAGCAAATTTAATAGCAATCGCATGTTATCATACTGTATGTAATCCTTCATAATATCAGCATCCTTGTTTACGATTAAATTTACATAAATAATGCATGCCTTTTAATACTAGTACTGAAAATGTTTTCGAAATAGTTCCAGTTTTATTTAGTTTATTTGTAAAATAAAAACCACTTAACTGTGTAAAAAGTACTTAATATACCAACACAACTTAACTAAATAAATTAAACTTAAAACACATGAATCCATTGTATGTATTCAGCCTTTTTTAACGTCCTACCAGTGAACACGGGCCTCCCTTCAGTACGAGGGGGATCAGGCCATAGTCCACCACGCTGGCCAAGTGCGGGTTGGCGGACTTCACACGTCTTTTGAAAACTTGCTAGATTCTCTCAAACATGCAGGTTTCCTCACGATGTTTTCCTTTGCCTTTAAGACATTATTCGTTCATGAAAATATCAGAGGTGCGAGACCTGGGATTTGAACTCGCTTCACTCGATTTCTCAAGCGAGCGCGTTACCACTGGACTACTACTGCCGTAGTTATATATAACATTTATACTATTGTTTGATTTTTGGTGTATTGATAAGTAGATAAAAAATTCATCAACAGTCATCTCCTTTTATCTTTACCAAATAGCAAATTCAAGTTAAAACAATTATATAAATTAAGCAAACTAAACAGTAACTGAGCTTATATATAAACGTAGAGTATGTGAGAAAACAGGATGTGATCTGTAGAGCTTTCTCATGCTCTTTGATAAGTCAATATTGGAATACGAAAGGCCAATATTGACTGGCAACTTTGTTGCATCTGTTCCACGTAATAATGTGATCAATGACAGAGAGACCAAGCGAATATAATATCGCTGTCCAATATAGATAAATTTTGAATTATAGTTTGTAATTTTTAAGTTGACAAAAGCTCTGGTGGTTTTTAAGTTTTATTTGAGTTTTGTTATAAATGATTTTTTCAAGATTATTCTTGCATAAATGCTATAACAGTATCTATATACATACATGAATAACAGGCAAAGACAAAGTAGTTTAGTTGTTTTTCTCCTCTAGTCAACTGGTTTTTTTTATTTAATAGCTAATGACGAGCTTTAGAGCTATCAATTAAAAAAGTTAGGAATTAATTTTTTTTTATAATGATAGGTAATTACATATGTAACTATTAACTGTAACTATTTATATATGTTTTCCGCAAATTTTTAACATTGATTATGATTGAATTTCGACGACTGGACGAACGGACTCTTGTTGTTATAAATAGAATATTACTAGCGACTCACCCTCGCTCCGCTCGGGTTCGTCCCTGGGGTGGGGTCTGGGAGGACCACCCTTATCCTTATCACTTAGGGGTATGAAAAATAGATAGTAGTCGATTCTCAGACCTACTGAATACGCATATAAAATTTGGTAAAAATCGGTAAAGCCGTTTCGGAGGAGTACGGTAACAAACATTGTGACATGGAAATTTTATATATAAGATGATGATGTAAACCTGTAATATGTTAGATATTATAGTCCCTGTCCATTAATACTCCTATTAAAGACTTTATCAATCTGATATTTCTGTTGGACGATAATTAGGCACGAATAATTATCGATAAGTAGTAGAGTCGATTACTTTGCGTAATTCCCGAGGTATGTAACACCACCAACTTCCCAAATCCGGGCTGCTACTAAAAATTTATTAAGGAAAACTCAACGTCAAATTCAGGACCACTTAACGTGCAGCTGTACATGCTAGCTACTGGACCGATGAGGAGCAATATTTTGCTATTACAAAGTGAAGATTCATTGTAAATATAAATATTGCACGTCTGCCTGTGATTTTAATTGAGATTCTTCCATTCTGCACTTACTTTACACCAAAAGTTTAAAGCATATACATTATACATATTTATATTTTTTTTATTTCTAGATAATTTCTGACGAAAGTCTACTAACGATTCACATTGTCTCAAACGTTTTAATTCTTCACAAAGTTTATACGAAGAACTTTCTTTACACAATGTAAGCGAACACTAAGACGGTAGTTATGAATATTTGAAGAAAATATAAAAAAATGAAAACTCATAAGTTTAAGTATAACGTATTAATCCCTCCACGACCACGGACACGCCGGCGTTACAGTTAACAATAGATTTCTTAGAAATTCAATTAATTTCTTAGAAATTTACCTGGAGGTGTTAATATTAATATATAAATATTAAAATATGTTTGTCTGACTGTTACTTTCTAATGGCTTATACATTCAAGGAACATCAAATCAATTATAATGTCTTTAATGGAAAAACTGAAAGTGAAAAGCTCTCATGGAAAAATGGTTTTGTTATTATTCGAAAGGAATACTCGTATATTAATATCAATTTTATAAAAATAAGGAAAATATATTATTTATTCAGAAATATAATTGCCCATTGTATTGTAACATTAATAGTCTACAATATTTATATTAATAAAAATGAATGTTTTTTTGCTGTTGCTATGCAAGAGTGAGCCGCTAGTTAATAATAAAATCTGAGACTAAGGAATTATATAAACTAAGTCTAATGAAACTAAACATGAAGCCAAAGAATAATGTTTTAAAAATAATCTATATACTACATATAATAAAATTCTAACTAAGTCGAATCTGTACATTAAATACTATTTGAAAAATCTTATTGAAAAAGACATTATTATTGATACTATAGTTTTTAGAATTTTGATAGCTATGATGATAGCTGGTTATCCGGATTAAAATATAGGATACTTTTTACTACGGAAAAATATGTATCTCTGAGAAATCTATACTAAACGTTAAATCCGAGGGAACGTCGCTATATAATAAGATAATAAAATTAAATATATTGGCGAAGTAATCTGTGTAAAATAGCACGCCTAAAAGCCACATAACAAAGTATTGAATTGAGAATAGCATATTGTGATATTAGAATGTAATCGTTGATAGAAGGATATCCACTTCTTCTACTCCCTTTTCTGCAGTTATGCAAATTATTGCCTGTCGTGTGTAAGCTTATCTCGAACATTGTTATCAAGTAACGCGTACCAGTACTATACATATCACTCATGTACAATACTACCTTACACTTACAATCTTAGCTTAGAAGATGTATGGGTCCTTAGTCTCTAGATTTTCAATACTAATTTCTCGTGGTTCAAATTCAAAATATGTTATTCAGCATTAAATTCATGCAATTTTTATCTGAACGTCATAAGTCTTTCACCAGCACTGTTCAGAAAGAAAACGCTTCAGTCCCAAGAACTGAAAAAAACTCAGCGTAACAAAATGTTTTTTCATTTTATTTATCTGTTTTTTGTAAGTAAAATTATAAATTACAATAATTTTATAACATTGAAAAAATTATATCTAAAGATTTAGTTCTAAAGTTAATGTCCTATAATGTGTATTAACAGTTGAAAAAAAAAACACCTCGCATTTGGAAATTTAGTGATAATACTGGAGGTAAAAAATCTATACATATAATATAAATGTAACTGATCGCTGTCTGTACATGGAAGATATTTGAGAAAAAATATTATTGAGGGTCTTTATTAACGCAGTAGAATCCAAAACAATGATTTTTAGATTTTTTGTCTGTGCGTTTGCTTGCGCTAATCTCAGAAATGGCTTAACCAATTTAGGTGCGGTTTTTACTAATGTATTGTGGTAAGCTTCACTTAACATTTAGTATTTGTTATATTTCAGTCGGTTCAAAAAGTTATGTCGATTTAAAGAATCACCTAGGCACGAACCCGAACGAAGCGAGGGTGAGTCGCTAGTTTTTAATGCGATACAAATCTGTTCAAGCTGTTTCACATGAAACTTTTATTAATGTTCTAACTATTAATAACGTCTATCAAGCTCTTCGAAGCTTCTATATAACCTTTAACGATTTAAATATTGTGACGACACGTTTGGCTCATTTTGTAATGACCCTACTTGCTGTGCCAGCGGTCGTGGCTTCGAGTCCCGCTGGGGGCATTCATTTGTGTGACGATCACGAATGTTTGTACTTCAGTCATGGGCGTTGTTTATATTTATAATATGTATGTATCTAAAGTTATATATGTATTGTATCAACTATCTGATATCCATAGCACAAGCCTCGTAGCTTACCATGGGACTAGATGGTGCTGTGTGTTAATATCCCAATATATTTATTTATTATATGAATATGTAAATGTAATGTATACTCCGTAGAAAAGAAAACTTTATGTATCTTAAACGTTTTCTAATCATATTCAGTTACTTAAAATCTTTAACAATAGATTGCGTTGTACAAAATAAGATCGCACTGCTATTGTATTTAAACAAAATAATAATTATAATCGCTAATGATAACGTAGTCGTTGCAATTTTATCTACACTTAATATTATAAAGAGGCAGAGTTTGTTTGTTTGAACGCGCTAATCTCCGGAACTACTAACCCGATTTGAAAAAATCTTTTTGCATTAGATCGCTCATTTATTGAGGAAGGCTATAAGCTATATATCGTATAAATATATAGTCTATCTATTCCGAGTGACGAAAGCGAGTAAAGCGAGGGTGAGTCGCTAGTTGTATAGATTAAGCAACGACCAGACATTTGATTTAGAAATAATATAAGCAATATGTGTATTTACATATTAATATTACTTATGTAGGTTGTATTATAAATTTTTATATTTTATAATGCGCCTATATTTATCATATCACGCGATTCGCACAAATTAAATAAAACAATACTCAAGTTAAGGTGTAGGCCATTTAATAATAACATTATAACATGATTTTAAAGCGTAAATTAATATTCTTAAGATAAACAAAAACTAAGTTTTTTTTTTGTTATAGTGGTTGTTAGTTTCTTAACGAATTATCATAATTAATCGTTAAATCGAATCTGTACATTAAATATTTTTTGGAAA